AAAAATCTCAGTTCGTAGTTGCTTAGTTTGTTGTTGTTTAGAAAACTGCTCTTGTTGACTGTAGCGAATTCGCGGATTAGCTTTCTTTAGCTGTTTTGAATTAAGTTCTTTTGAACGTTTGAGTAGTTAAAAGATAACTACTGTGATATATTGTGATACTGCACGATTATTTGAGGACATTTTTTTTTTTTTTTTTTTTTTTTTAATTAAAAGAAACACAACAAGTTCCCCATGTACCACATAATATCACATGGGGCTTACAGAAGTAAGTAAGAAACACAATACAAACTAAACAGAAGAGAAAATTGAAATAAAATTAAGGATGATTACACAGTTTTACAATGAATTGACAAAAAGTGTTAAAAGCACTTCTCTCGGAAATAAATTGGTAAAACTCTGGAGGCCAGTTAATATTAAATTTTTCAGTCCCAGTTTCAAGACTTTTCTTTCGTTCTCATATTTAGGACATAGAAGAAGCACATGTTCTACATTCTCCTCGCCGCCGAGGACACAGTCACAGACAGACTCAGGACTCAACTTAAATCTGTTCAAATAACTTTTAAAATTCCCATGTCCAGTAAGAAACTGGGTTAATTTATAATTTGTGAAGAAATGATGACACGACAATCTCATTTTAATAGAAGGGAAAAATCTTCTAGTTAAACTCCCTTTATTTGAATTAATGAATTCGTGATTCCACGACTCCACAATGCTTTTATACATGACCTTCTTATAGAAGGAATTAGGGATATTGACAAAAGTGTCAATTTCCTGCTTAGTCGCAGTCTTAGCAAGGAAATCGGCTCGTTCGTTCCCAACAATACCTGTATGACCACGAACAAATGAAAATGAAACCGAAATATTTTTATCCTTTAGATTTTTCAGTTCTTTTTGAATCTCAATAATGATATTAGAAGAAGAAATACATTTTAAGATCTCCAAGGATGAAAGGGAATCAGTACAAATGAGATAGTCTGAAACAGCACTGTTTTTGTTTAGAGACCCATTTGACGGCGAAGTTTAAGCACAAAAGTTCAGCTATGAAAACGGTACATTCATCTCTGATTCTAAATTGAAAGTGCTCAAATTCAAGACCATTTTTGAAGACAACAAATGCGAGACCAACCTTGCCATCAATTTTTGCTGCCATCAGTATAGCAAGTTACAGGCGAATCATCTACGACTTTATTGCTAAACTGAATAAAATTAACAGCATTTCTTTCTGAAGGATGAGGGAGATCAGATAGAGGTAATATACAATCATACTGAGAGACAGTAGAAGCAGAAATATTTTCCTTATAAGCAATAGAATGAAGAATGGCAATGTCAATTGGAGGAAAGCCAGAAATTGCATAAACAGACTCATAGCTTACGGTACGATATCCACATATGACCCGCAGAAGTATCCGCCTTTGAACACGTCGTAAATATCTATAATTTATCTTCTTCTTGAGCGATATACCCCAGACTCTAGAGCCATACATAATGAAGGGGGCAATTCCTTGTTTATAGATGAGCGAATGAACGTTGTAATTAATACCGTATGTGTTGCGTGCAATACGACTTAATCCACGCTGTAATTTATCACATTTCTCTGATACATAAGTTAAGTGTTGTTTCCAAGAAAATTTACAGTCAAGAAAAACCCCAAGATATTTCATTTGCTTTACCACAGTCAAAGGGGTGCCATCGAGAGATAACTGAAATGCATCATAACAGATGTTTCGCTTTTCAATAATCATAACCCTGGTTTTATCAGGATTAAAATCTAATTTAAAACCTTTTGACCAGTTGGAGGCGAAATTTAAAGTCTCTTGTGCCTGTAAAAAAGTAGCAGAAAGGTCCCTACTCTGGAAGCAAAACAAAACATCATCCGCAAAGGCTATAGTATCACAACAAGCAAGATTTTCCAGTTTTAATAAGGAGATCATTAATAATAATATTCCAAAACGTAGGTCCTGAAACAGAACCTTGAGGGCAACCCCTTTCAAGGTGACGGATTGCAGAAGCCGAGCCCAGTTGCAGTTTGGCCGCCCGATCATTTAAAAAATCAGCAGCAAGTGAAAAAATATTCATTGGAAGTTCCACTTTTTTGAGAAGATTGAGAATACAAGGCCACCACGCATAGTCGAAGGCGCCCTTAATATCCAAAAAGACCAAAATAGTGTGCAAGTTTTTCTTTTTTCCTCTCTCTCTGAACAATTTCATTCAAGCGTAAAAGAGCGTCTTCAGAACTTTTTTGAGGTGTAAAACCATACTGATTACCAGAAAGAAGGTCTCTATGGCGGAGATACCAGCAAATTCTGTTAATAAAAAGTTTTTCCAAGCACTTACCCAAAACAGGAAGTAAGCTTATACACCTAAGGTTATCTAGGCAAGGAATCCTAGACTCATTTCCTTTAGGAATAAGAATTACTTGAGCATGTTTCCAAACACGTGGGAAAATGCCAACATTTAAGCAAACGTTAAAAAGTTTATGGAGAAATTGAGGAAACATTAAATGAAACTGTTTAATAATCTCGTTCGAAATAGAGTCAGGACCAGGTGATTTATTTGGTTCCAGCATAGAAATAACTGTATTAACTTCATCACAAGAAAACATAGGATCTACAAAAGAAGAATAAGCAGTACGCGCAGCTTGACGGTATTCCTTATGCAAATCATCATCATTTTCCTCTAGATCCGAGGGGGAAAGATTTCTGAAAGCACAGCAGTAATTGTCTCTTCTAAAGAGTTGGTTGTCTCTCCAGTGGAAAGACAAATACCAGTTATTTCAATTTTTTTCATGAAATCTCTTTTAACTCCATACGTGTAAATCTTTTTCCATACATTGCGAACATCAATGGTCGAAAGAAATGTTTTCCCAAGACTGAGATTTAGCATCGGCAAGCTTTAGATTGTAAACTTTTCTATATTCAAGATATTTACTTTTATAAAGTTCTCTAAGAGGCGGATTTTTACAACGCTGAAATCTACGCCTAGAGGCATTAAGCCTTTTTCTCATACAAAAAATTTCGGCAGACCACCAAGGAACATTGTGCTTACCATGATTCCTAACAGGTATGGAAATTTGAGATGCCTGGAGAAGAACAGAACTAAAATTCTCAACAAAAGTATTTAGTCGAGAACCGTCAGTACAGTCGTTAAGAATATCAATGAAACGGGTGATGCGAGAAGAACAAAATTTTCGAAAACGATCCCAATTTGCTTTCCCTGTATTGAAGATTTTAAAAGGAACATTTGAGGTGTCTCGTAAGAACGTAGAAAGACAAAATTCAAATTCAATCATCATATGATCAGAAAGGGATTCTTTTTCAGACAGTCGCCAACTCAAAATATCCTGGAGAAGATCTGAACCAATAACAGTAACATCAATATAACTAGAACCCTGAGTTGCCTGAAACGTAGGTCCATAATCTTCATTAATAACAAATAGGTTGTTGGCAGAAATAAATTCACGCCATAATCAATTCGAGATTGAATGTTCTTTCTCATAAATTCATGACTAGGACAGCATTCTGAAAAAGGTTTGTGATTAACATTCACTTTTTTATAGCTGTTATTTGTTTTATGATTGAAGCGGATGCAATTTATACAAGCTACAGCATTCCTATTCGATCAATCCCTTGCCTTATGTTCTCCAGAACAGTTAAAACAGGCTGTTCGCTCACGACATTCATCAGCACGATGGTTGTACCCAAGACACTTAAAACATCTATTGATGATAATAAAATCGTCAGTTTCACATATACTCCAATTAATTTTCAACCTGGCTTGATTCAGAATACGTTTACGAACCATGGGGTGCGTTTCAATCACAACGTGCCTCGTGAAACTGGAAGGTTTTTAAAGTAAAACGAACTCTACATATACTTCTGTTTTCATCAGATTCAACAACTTCAGGATTTTGTTCAAAAATCACTTTCAGAAGATCTTCATTAGGTATTTCATTTGGCACATTTTTTACAAGTAAAACAGGATTCCTCTTTTTTGGTAAGGACGTGTTTTAATTCCGGAGACTTTTCATTAATCTCGGCTTGAAGTCGATTCCGATCATTTTCTGTCAAACACTTAACCAAGACTTTATCTTTTCCAATATTTTTTCAAAGTATATACACCTAACTTAGCTTCTAATGGATTAATTTTTAGTTTAATAACTTTCTTAACATCGTCAGAAGAGCAGTTTTTCAGAGTCTACAATTAAACAACAATCCGAAGAAATCAAGGATTTTTCATTAATCCTTGTAACATCAGATGGCGCCACCATACTAGCATAACTAGGTCTTGAAAAGGCGTCTTTCAAACTTTCCTTACATGCATCCATAAATTTAACAGCTTTGATACGTTCAAAATTCTTATAAATAGAAGATTTCAACTCACCCAAAGCCTGCCTGGCCTCCTCGCGAACCTGTTGATTCATATTGCATTTAGATTGAAGTGCTGATTCAATAATTTTACAGTGTTTTTCAAGAGCATCGTAAAACACGTCATCCTCCGTAGCAGCCATTGCCGTGCATGCAAATGGGGCGTTCCGGGTCGATGAAATTCTCAATCATTCATTTCTTCAAAATAATCATTATCTTGATACAAAAGGCACATTTTTCAAAACCGGAGCACAAAACAAATTATAAAAAAGCACTTTCAATAACACAGAACCAATATGCACAGAATAATAAAGACTTTTCATCACAGCATAAAACTGCCAACCAACACGGCTGCTGACATGCGCCGAACCAGACATTTAGGACAATTTGAGGACATTTAATCCTATTTATTGTTATAATAATAAATTTTTGTTCATTTTTCATCGGACTTGTGCATTCATTTCGTAACGAACCCGTACGCACGCAACAATATAACATCACCGATTATTATTAACAACATTTGTGGCTACAAATATTCACTAGAAGAAGACACCGGAAACTAAATATTTCCGGAATTGTGAACATTTGAAGCTAGTAGCTTAAAATTTTCAATACACTATAAGAAGACATTTTTACCTTCTCTGTGCTTTCTAGGATTGCCGGAGCAGTTGATTTTGGCAATATCGACTAGAGTTTTCCCATTAAGAATGGGCAAGGTAAGATAAGTGGTAAGGAAATCTACAGAAGAAGAATTCAGTTGGGCCATCAAATACCTAATCGTCGCATTGAGATTCCAGTCTTTGCTGTTCTCTTGACCACCACTTAAGAGTGCCTATAAAGATAAAAGAGCCAGTGACCTTATCGAATCCAGTATGCAAAAGTATTTATATTAAGTTCATAGAAATAAGAATACAATAATTATTTGATTATAAAATTACTTATACGCGGCTCTTAATACAAATGGTAATTGCTAGATGTACTGAATTTTCTGAATATGCATATTCTGTATCTAATCCATTGTAAATATCCTTTCGTTAAAGAATGTTGTTACAAAAATATCAGTTTATGAATATGTAGGTTACCAGTTTAAACTTGATATCACTTTTTTTTTTGGTTAATAAAATGAAATTAGAAAATTATTATCTGTTTTGATTGTGGGTTTATTACAGGGTGTTTACAAAGTCCCGGACATATAATGATGTTTAATAACTCATAAAATAATGAAGCTAATACAAACTCATGGCATTTATTGATGGAATAACTTATATATTTTCCTTTCCAGGTTTGAATATCTTTACTTTTGTAAATATCGTCTGCGAGTGTGGTTAATTTCATATATTTTTTTCATATATTTTCATTTTCCAGTCTAAATATCTGTACTTTTCTAAATATCGTCTGCTTATTAACTGCAATTTTTCTCTCTTTTGTTTTTAGGCAACTATTGCAATGTTTATGGACTTTTTCCTTTGGGGATTTGTACACGGAGAACGTTTATAGGAGGAGAGACCTGTCGAAAAGCCATGGATGACCTAAAAGCTCAGAATGACAACCGCAATAGCCTCTGTGGATGCCGACATGCTTGCCGGTACCTGGAGTGAAATTGAATATCGACTTGATATTCTCCGTGCGACGAAGGGGGCACACGTGGAAGTTCATTGACAAGGGTCGTGAAACATTTTGAGCCTATCTAACCATTTATGTTATCAATTTTAATCTATCTTTATTATTTTATGAGTTATTAAACATCAAAATGTATCCTGGACTTTATAAACACCCTGTATATATATTATAACTGCAAACTATATTTGTAAATAAAAAAATGAAGCAAAACTGGAAAACAAGATTAAACATAAAACTATGAGGATAATTTATGTTTTAAAAAGCTATTTATTTACAATCCAATGTAAATTTTGAGAAATCACGCATTGTACGCTTTTCCAAGCCGAAAAAGTAAATTTATTACTCAGAAACAAAATTGTTTAAAATTAATAGATATGTTACGGTTTATGTAGATGAGCATATAGTATTTGAAGCTTATAAACTTCCAGGGAATAAATTAAATTGTATAAAGAAATCCATTTATTTATCACTCAGGCTTAAAAATTAAAAACGCTTGATTGCAAAAATATTTATTTTTTATATAATCAAAAGATAAATCTATGATATTTAAATAGACTGCATATAACTTTATGAAATCTAGTACGATATATCTTTCTCCTGTTAGCTTTTAAAGGTTTGCAAATTGTATGAAATTTCCTTTTATAATAATAAAAGAGAAAATTGCATAGACCAGATATACAAAAGCACAGAATTATTTGACAAAGTTTAGTGAGACAAAATTTGGCACACGCATTATCTATACCACCGTCAGTACAGTGAGAAGGTTAATATCATTCAAGGTCCAACTTTCTCTTTCGGACACTCGAGACAGGTCAGTTCGTACTTGGCTAGGATTTAGACTACATAGCATTATTTAATGATCAGTTTTATGTATTATGTTTATCAGTTTTATTTTTAGTTTTCATGTATTACGTATGCATTGTAAGTGTTATGTATGCAGGCATTAGGGATCAGCTTTCTGTATTTCTGTACTCAGTATCATGTTAGTTTTTCACTTTAATATTCAGTTTTGTATTTATGTATGTATTATCCTGCCTGCAAGTACTACGAAAGAAAATGTAGGTGAATGGTTCAATTTGTAAAACAACTACAGTTTAAGTATGCGCAAAGAACTAAATTATGCAAGAATTTGTTATCTTATGATAAGAGGTTAACATTCTATTAAATGTTCTTACATAAGAGTCAGGCACATGGAAAGTAAACTGCGTTAAATTATGTTTGGGTGCTAGGATTTTTTTTAATCATCTTTTAATCTCTCTCTTTATTTAGTTTTTTTTTATTTTTTATTTATTTATTTTTTTTAAAGTTTACTATGTGCAATAATTTAATAGGCTACAACTTTCCTCCATGCATGGCCAACCACTTTACAAAAGCCCCATAAATATATGACAGTTGTGTCATATATTTAGCATCCGCATGTAGACATTTAGCAAGTCCAGAAAATCCACGGCAGTTAATTTTTCAGGCAGAGTCCTCCTATCTTTACTTTCTCTAACACAAGTTTCTGTCTATTCTAACAGCAATTCGTAACAGTCTTTTGATTGCTTCTTTGCTTAATTTTAAGTAGTTCCTAACAGGATACTCTTTCCCCGTACAACAACATCCAAGCTTACATGTAGACTTTATGAGGCTCTTAGCCGTCTATTCGGCTGCGTCGCAGGATGGAGCAGAGAGTAGATGGTTTCTGCCAAGAAGATAACACACTGTGAGGCTAAGGCCAGGTCAGTGGTCTTTCTTGGCCCAAGGCCCAAGGCGTTTGACTTCCGGAGTACCTTTGCAACTTAATGCAATTACCTCCACAACTTCGATAAGGAAACTGAAGTAATTAAGAAAGAGCACTAAACGTATTGTTCCAAGGCTTGGGAAAGGTAAATTAGATAATACGGATAGCCGCAGTGATTGCTAATGCCTTGGGGATGAGCGGGGGGGGAAGAGTCTTACGACTAAAACTAGTATCCAGGGATGGAAGAGCGAAAGGAGGGGGGGGGAAATAGTCTATTCAAGGAAGGCGAAAAGTTCTCCAACCGCCTGTGGCGAGTAGAATAATAGGAGCAACTTTTCGAAAGGAAAAGGAACCGTAAGGAAAGTTAACTGCGAAAAAGACGGAGAAATTTTGGGAGAGGATTTAAAGGGAGGAGTATTGAGCTTAAAAAGAGGAAATACAAGGGAAATTAAAGGAAGGAGGAAATTAATTAAATTTAATTATGGATAAAGGGTAGTGAAGGGATGAAATGCAAGCTTGTAATACCTGTGAAAAATAAGGAATTTTAATTTTTAATTCAAGATTTAATACCGTGCATATATAGATGTGACTTAAATTAATTTTAGTAAGAATAATTTAAGTCTTAAAATTTAACGAAATTTTTTAGTAGTAAAATTGAGTAGCAATAAATTAATGTTTAATTTGCATTATTTTTAAAGTTAAATTTAATGCTATAAGTCTGGTCCGTGATAAAATGAAAAAGGTGAGGTCCTGATAAATGGGGGGAGGTCATGTTTAGTGGTACAGGTGTAGGTCGCGATGAACGAGGCCAGATTAGATCTGGCGGGCAATGATGTTAAAATGAGAGTTAGTTAAGGGTCGCCGGGTTAGGCCCGTGAAGTGCTGGTTAAAGTTTAAAATTAGAAAGAATTCCTAGTCAAGCAAGCACCTCCGCTTTGGCTTCCTAGGAAAGATGTTAAATGTTCTATCAAGAACGCTCTTAGGTCGCTTAGCAGAGCTGGGCTCTGCTGGATTATAGGCAGGAAGTGAATGCAAGACTGGGTTTTCAATCTGAGAAAGTCTATTGAAAAACTTGGCCGAATTTTGCCGAAAAAAGGCATCTAGGGGTAAAATTTTGAGATCGTTATGGAGCACTTCATTCCGGACGAAATAATGAGCATTGGTGAGTATGCGAAGCGTGACGCTCTGGAATACTTGGAGTTTCTTTAGGTGGCTATTAGCTGGTTGTAGGAAAAAATGACACCCGGAAAAAAGGGACGGAAAGAATTCCCCGAAAATAAGGAACGGAAAAAAACCCTTCGTTTTCAATGGGAAATATAAGGCATTTTAGAAAGGCCAATCTGGGTGATAAATTTTATCTCAACAACTGTAACTTCGGATGACCGGAAACATGTGCGAGTAGAAGCAAGAAGACGTGTTGGCTGCTTGTTTCTTCCATGGAGCCTACCTCCATAGTTTCTTCGCTAAGGTTAAAAATAGAGGGTTGTTTAGAGAGGGAAGCTTTCGCGATGGACGCCAGGGGAGAAAGGCGGGTTGTCCAGCGTCGGTCATTGTCAGGTCCACTAGTAATTACTCTCCTCGCACTGCCATGTAGTTATAGCCCTTAAGCGCGGTTTAGTGAAACATTTAGGTTGTCGCATAACAGAAAACTAATTCAACCTGAGCTTTGGATCATAAAAGCAGTATTATAAGAAACAGTTGTTCAGATGCAATTTCAAGTTACGGTTTGCGAATAAGAATAGTACTAAATTTTTTAGCTAATTAATTGTCTCGTAATTTTTTTTTTCTCATTTGATTTTAATTAAAAGTACGCATTTGCACAGGAAACATTTGTTTAAATTTGCACTTAAGTTTGAAAACAAGAATACCACAGTTATTAAAATTAGTGGTTTATTTCAAATTATTAGTCTCTGAGGGACTAATGTTTTTCATTTTGCGTCGAATCACTCTGAATGTCCGTTTCACTTTTCAATTGTGCCACCAAATATTGTGATAAAACAACGGTACCTACAGCCATCGAGTTTCGAATGACGTAATCCTACTGCGAATATGGGCAACTGGAAGCCCAAATTTGAAATTTGGAATTCGTTTTATTATCGATTTTATATTTGTGTAACGAATTTTTGATTAACAAACTCAAGAATTTCAAAGCGAGCCATGGCAATGTTGTACAGAAAAAACATTTTTATCTCCAGCGCGTGAGACTGTGAATCGGAAATTCTAAAAATGTGCTCAATTTAAAATTATTTTGCGATACTGCTCTTGAACTGAATTTATGGTTTAAGTGCGAAGAATATGATATTTAATAAATAAAGGTAACACACAAAATGTTTAAAAAAAGGCCCCTTTGGACGTAATTTAAAATCTGAAACCTTTTCTGATTTTTTATTTTACTAAAATTTTAAAATCTAATTAAAATGGATCCCATAACCACGCGATCTGGATTTAAACATTTAATATGCAATGAACCCTCTTATGGCGACCTCTTC